CACTATTAAAAGAAAGAAATTTTCAATGAAGAATGAATTTCTACAAGAGTTGTTTTCATTTTTTTTCATTTTAATTATTTATATATAAAATCTTTTAAAATTTTACATTACATTGATTGCATGAGGTGATATTGTTATTAAGTGAAAACTATATTTACTAATCAAAAATTGAAAAGCTTAATACAAATCATTTTGCACCAAGATTTTTCAAATAATTTTTAATTTTTTTTATGTGTATAAACGTACCCATTTTCAAAGTATGTGTAACTATACATGACATTATCAGAAAATAAGAGCAATGACTATAGTAAATTTAAAATCAACATTCCTAAAATTAGAAACAGAATATTTTCCAACATTTTTAAGGTTACTGATTACTTAAAAATTATGTTTTAACAGATAAAGTCTCTGTAGAGCAATAATAAAGGTGTGAACACCTTTATCAGCACTTGTCATTGCTCATCAATCATGTAAACAAGGCTACTGTCAGTTAAAAATACAACTATATTTTTTTTTAAATGCATTTCTGTGTTATTTTAAACTTAAAGTAAATAATATTTTTTTTCAAATAAGATCAATTATACTTTAAATCAGATAATTATCCAAAAATATAGTTTCAGAAAAATATATTTTATTTTGGAAGATTTTTTAATACAGAAATTAAATTGCAATGAAAGACAACCAAAAAAGGGTGCTAATCATCTATCTTAGAGAAAAAAAAAACCTCCAGTCAATTTAAATTAGTTTTTGAAACAGCAAAGTATTTTGGTTATTTTAAATGTTAAATTTACATATTAGCTTGAAATTAAAATAAAAGATTTTTCATTTTTTAAATTCATTTTAAACCTTAGGTATCACATTTTTTGAGGTCCCTATATAAATATAATCAAAAATGATCCGTGTAAATGAAGTTAGTTAAAAACTAAACACTAATAATGCTATCTAATGTCAAAAATATAACTAACTTTTTAAGCTACCCAAAAGTTGCTGTACAAATTACCAAAATTGGTTAAATTTACGTCTAAAAGAGAAACATTTAAATACACCAGAATTTTGATTGAAACTCCACTGCTTATTTGAAGTTGAAAATAAAATGCTTTGAAGTTTTCACCTGACTCAGCAACAAAACTATTTCTAAAACGAAAAAGAAATGTTGGAGAATCTCCAAAAAATCTGAATACATTGAGACATTTTTTTTTTTTTTTTTTTTAGAACATCTTAATGATTTTATGCTCATTTAACAATCATTAGCATGATCATTAAATGAGTTTTTGGGGCAAACTTTATCTTTACATAATACAACAATACTACGACTACAAGGGAGTGCTGAAAAGCTCTTTCCAAAATCCGAGTAAATGACCAAACAGCATACATTTTATCTATTTATTTTGGCATTCCTTCTTGATCAAGACAAAAACACTCTAGAACTACCTTATAAATTATCAGCAAACAATTAAAACATAGCATTATACCAACTAAAAATAATTAAGCAAGAAAAGGTTTCAGGTCAAAAGTTGAAGATTAAAAGATAAAAATCACAAACATCATAAATGATCAATACATTTATGACATTTGATAATTATTTAAGATTTCCAGAAATACAATTTCTGAACAGAATAAAACAATGAAAGGAAAAGTAATCAGAAGACATCCATGTTACATGAGCATTTTTAACACCAGTTTTTGTTTTGGCTGGTTACTTGTTTCTGAGTCTGCCTGTCTGCTAGGGACAACTATCAATGTACAATTCTGTTTAGCCAATTTTACTCTCAACCCTTGGTCTGGTTTTTCAGATGCTTGTGCTAGCATGAAGTCACAAGTCATCATGATGGAGGATTTGAGCATACTGACTTTGTTCAAACTGTTGATCACATCAGATGATGCGCTCTCTCCCAGAAACTGCAACTAAAGTCCACACAGCATAGTTGTAATATAAATCACAGGTTGGCTCTATGGGTGTTCAAGCAAATTATCCTGAGTAGGCATCTGCAACAGAATTTGTTTAGTCCCCCTACCATATAAGTATACTCAGAAACAATCAAACACTTATTATGTATGCTTATGAGTTATATTGTCATTTAAATGTTTATTTGGACTGTCATCCTCATCCTTTTTATTTGTATCATACAGATTTATTTTCTGTGTAAGGCATTATGTTATATGAAAGATTTTTGTTTTTCTGACTTGCTGAATTGTATTCATTTTTATTCAAATCAACTGGTGTTGGAAATGTTCATGAAACACTGTGCTGCTCACTCAGATCACTTCCCCAGACCAATAGTATCAAGTCACCTTCCTGGCAAATTGAGCATACTGAGATTCAAATGTGGGTCAGAAAGCAAACATCCTAGCACCACACATATAAGTGTACATAAATAGTTTAAAAAACAACATATTTCAAATCTAACTTTGCAGGAATCCTCAGATGAAGCAAGAAGAAATTAATCTGTGAAGAGAAAAAGCATTAAAAGAATTCAAGGAAACAAACAAAAGCAAAAAACTTAAAAGTTAAAAATTCAAAACAATTTGCAATTCCAAACAAACAAAAGCAAAAAAAACAATTTGGGTTATAGGATAGTTAAAAAACAGGATACAAACAATTTGCATAGCAAACAATTTGCAATTCCAACAGGATAGCAAACAATTTGCAAACAATTCCCAACAGGATAGCAAACAGGATTGCAAACAATTTGCCAACAGGATAGCAAACAATTTGCAATTCAATTAGCAAACAATTTGCAATTCCAACAGGATAGCAAACAATTTGCAATTCCAACAGGATAGCAAACAATTTGCAATTCCAACAGGATAGCAAACAATTTGCAATTCCAACAGGATAGCAAACAATTTGCAATTCCAACAGGATAGCAAACAATTTGCAATTCCAACAGGATAGCAAACAATTTGCAATTCCAACAGGATAGCAAACAATGTCAAAGGAATAATAAAGAAACAATTGATTGATTTGTTTTAATAAAGAAACAATTGTTTATTTATCAACCCTCTGCATGTTATTTAAAATCAAAACCTTTTTTTTTTGTAAGCGACTGTTTTTTTTTCTTTTTTTTTGAGAGAGAGAGAGAACAATGATTATTCCAGACACAAATCCTACTATTTAACCTATAGTTGGGGGGGAGAGATTGAGTCATATCATTCTCAAGGATATTTGTACATAATTGAATGCAACAATCTCAACTGGAACCCAAACTGGGCTCTGCAATTTCTTATTCTGAGCCATTATACCACCCACATATCCAGAATAAATGAGCAAAATTTGAAAACAACACAAAACAAGTTCATAGTATAACATATATATATATACTATCCATTACATCACCTGCACATCCATCCATATATATATATATATATATATATATATATATATATATATATATATATATATATATGGATATATGGATGGATGTGCAGGTGATGTAACGGATAGTGGCTTAGGATCAGAAATTGGAGAGCTGAATTTGAATTCCAATTGAGATGGTTGCATTAAATTATGTACAAATATCCTTGGAAAAAGTTTTGAATCCATTTCTTCTCCACCTCCAGTTATGGGTTAAATAGTAGGGCAGACTGAGCTCTTTAGCCTTGTTTAGATACCTCATGACACACAATATACACCAGTTCTCTGTATTCAGTTCTTCCAAAAGGTATGCACAGGCCTTCACTACTATAATCAAATCCAATGTACAGTTAGTCTGACTTTTCAGTTATAGAAGATGAGATGTAGGCAATGGGAGAATCCATCATACACATGTACTAATGATCATTCTCCAAATAGCTGAACTGATTTCATAGAAAGAAATACTATATTATAGAAATAATAAAATATTACAGCCAAGTTTTGTCTTTTCTATAAGAAAAAACTTGAATGCTATATTAAATCTTGCTGTTATATTCAGAATTCAGATTGGATTTTTATCAGACAAATTTTGCTTGCATCTTATTGGTATGTCTCTATAAGCATTTTCTCAAAGATTCATTCAAGATTTGAGCAATGTAGAGAGAATTTCAATTGAATACAAACCATTCAGAAAAGAAGCATACATATATACTTATGAGGTATGTTCTTTCTTATATAATAGATACATCAGTAGTAACAATTCCACTCTTTGTGTTAACTCAGTAAATGTTGAAGCTGATTTGATATTTCCGAAATCAACCAAGCAGCTAATCTGATCTGAACAAAATAAACAATGCCATCAATAATGAAGGGAAAGCATTCAGGCAGCAGCAGCAACATGTATATTAGACAAGAAATTAAGAGGGTCAGGATACTTTAATGGGTAAACATTTGTCTATTGGAAACAATTCTCAAAGCATTGTGGCCAAGCAACCAACCAACCAGCCAACCGAGTCTAATCAGCCAATATATCCTTAAGCTGAAATCTGGCTGGCCTTGTGAGCAAGCATTTTCAGAAATATTTTCCAAGATCAAGCAATGAGAGTTGAAGCAGAAATACCAAGAAATTCCATAGACATATTGATTTTTCAAAGCAGATTTTGAAACAGCAATGAAAAGAAAGAAATGAAGAAAAGTGGGGTAAAAAAAAAAAAAAAAAAGGAATTAACAGTAGATGGTGAGAAAGGAGAACGGAAAAGATAAAAATGAGATGGTTTATTATTAAGTAAAGATATGCAATTCACAAACAACATTTAACATTACTATATCACACAACTTGACTGGAAAGGACATCTATAAATCAAAATTACTAAGAGCAATTGTACATGCAGGCAAATATCTACACAACATTAAAACTATGTAAGGAGAAAAAAATCTCAGTATATAATTAGAAATGAATTACAAGACATACATGAACTTATATTGACAGATCACTTAAATAAATGGAAAAGAAAAAAGAAATCTTAAATACAAAGACTATAATTAAATTTAAAAAATAATGTTGATCACTATTCTTTGTTTTAGAACATTTTACATCTTTAAAAATTACATGGACTACAGAGAAAAGTAAATTTATAAAAATTACCTGTTTTCACTTCTTTTCATTAGTATTTACTGTATCAGTAATGTAGCCCAATTTCATCCTGAAATACAAAATAACCAATTACTAAAAAATGCACATACATATTTTTCTGTTTATACAGTATTTTTTTATGGATACATTTATTTGAGTAAATGCTGTTTTTTAATTAAACAGTAATAACTATATTTACTGGCTCGAATGTTTGAAAAATTTCATAGAAAATATGTGAGTCCTCTGAACTGTCTGACATGCTATGACTGTTCAAGTCACAGAGAACTTCCAGTTTAGCAAAGCTCAAATTAGTGCTTTTAAACACACATCTTCACAGATTTTTCTCAGTCTATCATATCTGCTCTGAAATTGTAGCCTCATATCAACAATGACAACATTATATGAAATGGATTAAATCCAACATATTTTAATATATTTTGTTTATGGATACACTAATTTGAGTGTGTGTCTCTCAAATATTCAGGCTGGTAAATGTAATTAATACTGTTTAATTAAAAAAACAGCATTTACTCAAATAAGTGTATCTGTAAAAAAAAAAAAAAAAAAAAAAGGATAAACAGAAACATATTTACTTGTTTTAAAACATTATTTTTAGTGGATACCCATATTTGAATAGACCCTCTGTTTACTTTAAACAGTATTTTATTTTGTCTACCAGCCTGAGTAATGAGGAAATTTTATTAAAAGAAAAATGGCACACAAACAGGTTATATTCTAAATAACTGGATATTTTGCACATTCACATTTTTATTTTATATTATATATATATATATATATATATATATATATATATATATATATATATATATATATATATAATAGGAAATGTTTTGCCTTTATTAAAGCTTCAACAAATGAGATATGGTGAATAAGAAAGAAAAATTCTGGTATTTGTATTTGTAAGTTTTTTGTCTTTGTTTTTCATTGGTTAAAAAGACTTCACATGCATTTTTATCTTGTCAAGGAGTGTTCATGTGTAAAATTTGTGTAAACATATGATTCTAGCTTATCTATGCAAGATTTGGATAAAAAAAAAAAAATCCTTTATGCAGGAAATAATTTGAAGGAATTCTGATATATATTTTACCATCTATAAACGTACAAACACACTATTTTACATCACCGACTTTTATAAAATCTATACTTCTATCTATACAACAACTGGTGTTATGTAAAAACATAACCAAATCAACATGCGGGTGACCTCAAACAAGTAAAAATGCTTACCAGATATTATATATATATATATACACACACACACACACACACAAATAGACATTATTATCTGAATCCCATATAAACTAGAATCATGATGCACATAAATTTTACACAAAATACATATGAAGTCTGCTTAATCAATGAAAACCAAAAATAAAAATTTTCTATCTTTTTTACTGTAGAGCAAAGCCTTCAAGCAGATGTAGAGTTTATATTTTTTTGTTTTAAAACAAACTTTTTTTTTTCTTTTTACAAAATCATTTAGCTATCCCAGTCAAAACGTGTATAGATACTTGTTATGGCTTTAAATAATTTAGTGATGCTCTCAAAAGTCTTACTCTGTTATACAGTATAAAATTATTTTTATACAGTTAAATGAAATCTCTCCGCTGTCTCACTCATAGTACAATTCTTACCAAGGACTAAAGTGAAAAATATTGCTGGACTGACTCATCCCAAAGACATCTTTTAACTCCCTTCTTCCGGTGCTGATCAACTCGAGATAACAATCTCAAAGTACCTTAGACCTTTTGACATTTTATATGCCTTCAAAAAGAAAAACAGCAAGACAACTAAAAGCCACACATTAAATGGTCTGGCACAATTGGAGCAACCAAAAGTTTCAAATTTTTCTTAATACAAAGAAAACAGAATCTGTAATTTTTAAAATCAACAAAAAATATTCTGATCTAATCACCTAAGTTTGGAATACAAAGTAATTCTTTTTCAATTAGAGAGCACAAAAATTACACTATATTTTTGTCATTAAATGGCCATAGGATCATTTTGTTTTAATTAATCACATTCAAAAAAGGTAGATTTTGACTATAACAACCATCCTGACAGTAATGAAAATTTTTTAATTGACATAATTACTTACTAATTTTAAATGATTAATAAAGATAATTATTTTTGACATATGCTTTTATTTTCAAAAGTAAAAAAAATGTGATAAATGTAAAGAGATATTTGTGCATCTTATAAAGATGCAGTGATACTGAGAATACTATGAGCTGAACATGTGAGCAAAGGATTTTTTACAGGATTCTCTTAATAAAAGAAATTTCAATACCCTGAACAATGGTAAAAAGTACTTAGAGCAGTTCTCTGCTGAGAAAAATAAAATGTTCAAGGATGGAATCAGGAAATTGATTCAAAGATTGCAGAAGATAGTCAAACAAAACACTTCAATGTTGGAAAGAATTGTGTTAAAGAAAAAAAAAAAAAAAAATGTTATTTCTGGCTAAATTAAATAAACTTTTTGGCCACCCTAATATCTATGGAATTGGAAAATGGTGAAAAATTAAAGAAATTTTTTAATATAAATTTTCTGGTGAATAATTTAAATTAGAATTTCTTTTCCAAGAACTATTTAGCAGCATTAAGTTTATTTCCAATAAATAAAGCACATGTGTGAAAAAAAAGAAAAAAAAGGCAGAGATACTTTGAAAATATAGATAATATATTTCAGTTTACTTTAATAATTTCTTATTACTGCAGGCAGTAAATTAACAGTTAATTTCCTGTTTATGCTTCTTGCCCTGATCTTGAGGCATGAGCTCACACACACATACATATATCCATGTAAACTTATATTGGCTGTTAGATTTTTGTGGAGTACAAAGTGCTGAAAAATTCTCAACCTGGCGAAGAAAGGTTAAAAAAAAAAAAAATTAAAAAAAATAAATCTATATTTGGACCTTTGGTTAGATTTTGTGAAGTGGGCTGAGCTGCCAATTTTTTTAGCCTCTTCTTGTCAATAGAAAATATAGATACAGATGCACTTGATCTATACACACTGCATGGGAAAAGTTTGGCAATTCTGGTGTAAAGAAAAGTAGGGTATATTACATAAAAGAGATTTGGGTCAACTATTGAGAGCAAATTTCAAATTGTATATCAAATGTATGATATAAAAATACAAATTTTTTTCACAATGTTATTGCTTCAAAATAATAGATTGATTTAGGAATCTTCTTAAAATACTTTTGATGACAATCCTAAATTGGGATACATATAAATAACAATTGTAATCTGTGAGTGTATCAAAATAGCACTTTTTCAAAGATGCAGGTTTTATTTGTTTTCAGTATTTTTGAAACTTATAAACAATCCTTATCTAGCGTTTTTTTTTTAAAACTACACACACACACTTTAGTAACTTAAAATACTAATTAAGTCACTCAAAATTGACTCTCATATTAATCCTTTTGCTTTTTATCATCAACAATTAAGTTCCACTGGAAACTGCTAAATTGGCCTTAAGGTAGATAAATTAAAAGGCCTATTAATGATACAGAAGGGTTAAATGTTCTGAGAAATAATATGACAAAAGGGTTTTTAGAGACAATGTTTAAGCTGCCTGCAATTATATGGCCCCAGCTTTATTTAAAGTCTAAGTACACTGGTGAAGCAAGAACAAATGAAACAAGTTAAACAGCTAAAACATAAAGAGAGAGTAACATTATTTTAATCTAAGAACAAATAACTTGATTGATATTAAGATTCTAAACAAATCCAGAAAGCAACAAAAGGAAAACTGAGAAGAACCATAAACAACACTGAATTAAAAAAAAAAAAAAAAAAATTTAAAAATGTACTTTTAAAATGATAAAAACCAAATGATAGAAGAGACCGTTGTTAGGTTTAAAAAAAGTTATTGTATGTTAAAAAATATTTCATCAGGTTTAAATATAATTTATTGTACCATTTATTATTTAAAAAGAAGAAAGGTAATCCCTAGTATAAAGGATTTTTTTAAAAATAAAAGCTAGTAAATCCCCAATATGATAAAAATGTTTACAATCTTACTATCACTGAAATTGTATACTATTCTGCTCTCCTCTATTTAAAGTTTCATTTACATAGACACAAAGAGCAGCAAGAACAGGACAGGAAGCATTTACAGGAAATCAACTTTGATCCAATCTACAGCTTTTCAGTCATTTATAAAGATGGGCTTTTCATTACCCACCATCATCACCACTCTTTTGATAAAACTCATTCATAGGTCAATGAGGACATTTTCAAACCTACATTCTTGTATACGCACTAAAAAGATCATACATTTTTGGAGCAAGCATACTGATATTGTAAAATAATCAACTTTTTTTTTTTTTAACAAATCTATGAAATTCTGGTTGGAAAATATCAGCAAAAAGGTGAGAACTTTTTTCTAAAATTTCATAAAGTTTATTGAAGAATCTAGTGTTTATTAACAATGTAAATTGCAAACATTTAGAATTTAAAGAAACTCATTTCAGTGCCAGTGGAGAAATTTTCAAATTTATAACACACTCATATCAAAGGAAAACAATGACCTTTTTTTTTTTTTCATTTGCATATTAGGAATAAACTAATTCTAAAAAATCCTTTGGTTTGTCATTTGCAAAGAAAAATCATATTCATAAAAACACTTTAATATTTCAAAATGGTTATTTACATAATCATTCCCTCACATTAAAAAGATAAATTTCTTTGTACAAGAGTAAAGTATTCCATATATATATATATATATATATATATATATATATGGAATGGACAAAGCCCGACAATTATTTTAACACATTTTTATGTTTATACATTCTTTTTATAGATACAAATATTTAAGTAAATGCTCCGTTTTATAATAAACAGTATTAATAACATTTACCGGCCTGAATGTCCGAGAAATTTTCATTTACTGGAAGATTAAAGTTTAAAAACAGTAAAATCAACCTTGCTAATTGAACGATTCTCCATGTCTATCAGTTAAGGCACGTCAGGCTAAATGACGGTTCTGTATAGGATACAG